GGAAGGAAGGAAGGAAGGAAGGAAGGAAGGAAGGAAGGAAGGAAGGAAGGAAGGAAGGAAGGAAGGAAGTCCCAGCCCCTGGACTTCCAGTCTTCTGGGGCAACTGACCCAGATGCGGACTCACACTGGAATTCTCAATGGAACTCTCAGTTCTCAAGTTCAAGTCCACAGCCTTCACAGACAAATAGTGACCAGTCAGAAGATGCGACAGGAGGAGGAAATCTCACTTGTAACATCAACAGAGACAAATCTTTAAGAACAGATAAGAAGTACCATATGAAGTAGACTTGGAGCCATTCTACTTCAAAGACAGGAATTCTGTGCTGGAGGGTTGGGCACTGCCCGTTCGCAGCTCTTTGCAAAGGCAACCTAGTAAAAACTGCAGCCCGAGTTCATCAGGAGTTAACATGAAAGTTCATGTGAAAAAATAAAATCCTACTTGAAGGGCCTTCAACCTTTACTGCAGAGTTGTGGCACAGTCATTACTGCTTAGAGCAGTCCTTGGTCTACTAAAGAACAGCAGAGGAGTCACCAAGGTCCCCAGCACGTCTGAGCAGATAGAAGTGTTATTTCCCCAGGCTGGTCATGGCAGGTGGTACGCCCAGGCAGAACTGTTGTGCTGACCCTCTCAGCAATGTGTGATGCTGTGTCTCAACAAATATGTTAGAAAACAATGTGGCAAAGGAAGAGGCTGTACGGTGTGTAGTGTGCTTCCAACTCTGAGACACTGTGGACAGACAGGAAGTTGGAGACAGACAATGAGATGATCAGAGGGGCTTGGAAGCTGGGGAAGGGAGGGGACCACACTGGAAGGCACTCGAGCATCTGTTCCCATGCAGGAGGCCCTGGGCTGCACTTCCCGTGCCACAGAAACTGAAACAAGCGAGAAATAAGGGCTGGAGGTGAAACTCCACGTCCCTGCAGGGAAGGAGCACCGCATAGCTCTGTACTGCAGGCCCAGTTTTCTCTAAATCTTACCCCTTAAAATAAACGTAGTAGTTTTTCAAAATAAATTAATTCGACAGGTAGTGGTGGTAGCGCACACCTTCAATTCCAGCATTTAGGAGGCAGAGGCAGGTGAAGCTCTCTGTGAGTTTGAGGTTAGCCTGGTCTACATAGAGAGAGAGTTCCAAGATGGCCAGGACCACACAGAGAAATCTTTTCTCAAAAAACAAAAAACAACAAAAATAATTGTATTAGTCGGAAATATTTAAAAGTATAAATAATAATATGTTTACTATTTTAAAATTAAATTATTTTCAATTAATTAATTACCTTTAAAGTACTGAGCACTGAACCCAGATACTCATGCATGCTAGGCAAGCGCCCTACCTCTGGAAATATAGTTTCACTAAGCTGCCCAGGCTGGTTGGAATTTGCTATGTGGGCCAGGCTGAACATGAAATCTTCTTGCTTCATCCTCTAGAGTAGCTGTAATTACAAGCCTATGCTCCCAGGAAGGCAGTTTTTATCTTTAGATTTTAAAAAATAAATAAAAATTACGGTATCTGAGGATGATCCTGGACTGCAGGAATTAGAGGTGTGACCACCATGACAGGTGTAGCAGTGCTGGGAATCACAGCCAGGGCCTGCATCCTCGGCAAGGACTATGCCACTGAACTACTTCCCTGACCTCAGTTCTGCAGACCTAGAGGTCAGACATCTTATAGGGAAGAACAGAGGCCATAGCCTGAGTCTATGGAAGCCACACCACTACCTGAGTCTATGGAAGCCACACCACTACCGAGTCTGGGGGCACAGTCCACCTTAGAGGAGAAGGCATGGCAGCGGACAGCTTCACGGTGGCAGGAGTGTGCAGCCAGGACAGCCTCCTCCTTACATCTTAACAGAACAGACAGCAGAAATGGGACAGGGAATGGGACTAGAATTTTACATTCAAACCATGAAGAATACAGAGCCTAAAGTTAGGGAGGTCTGAAGGGTGGGGCCCTCATCCAAAGGTGCCCTTCTAGGAAGATAAAGAGTCAATAGAATCCCTTCTTGGCCACATGGGGACTTGGGGATAAGCCAGCCACAGAATCAGACTCACCAGGAGCCAAATCAGCCAACCACACTAACCTGGCACTTACCCACTTCTATAACTGCATGAGGCAGAAATGTGTGTAATATATATCCAGGAAAGGCCAAAGAATGCTTAAATTGTGTGTGTCTGTGTGTCTGTGTGTGGTGGGGAGAGGGGATCCAAAACTCTAATAGCAAGATTTACATAAAATCACAAAAATGACAAAATGGCCCTTAAGCAATGAAAACCCCACAGCTTCACTGATAATAGGAAAACTGAACAGTAAAACTATACCAAGATATAATTTATAGCTCATCCCACTGGAGAAAGACTGAACAGGCACTTGCCAGACTGGAGAAACAAGCAGACTCTCACATGTCCTACTGGGAATTCAGGATGGTGTATCTTAGAAGCTCCTTTCCAGAATTTTCTCATGAAAACATACTTCTAAAAAAAAAAAAACCACATAAACACATGGTCGCTCATTGCACCAGCATTTGTACTTGCAAAAATAAAGAAAACAAACTAAATATTCACACAGAGAAGAATGGCCAAATAAATCATGTGCAGAACTAGAGCTATAAAACAAACCAAAAAAGGTCAGACACGATTTCCTGAGTAGTGCATCAACAGGCCAAGTGCTAAGGGCACCTACGGCTCACTACCTTTTACGTAAGAGATAACAAAAGCGGGCGTGCAGCAGGCGCCACAGGTGACGCCTACGTATAATACACACACACACAGGCGACGCCTACGTATAATACACACACACACAGGCAACACCTACATATAATACACACACACACAGGCGACGCCTACATATAATACACACACACACAGGCGACGCCTACATATAATACACACACACACAGAGTACTGAAGACAGAAGGGCCCGGGCTGGACTTCCTGCTTTAGCTCTCTGTCGACACTGTTAGGAGACAGAGACGAAAACACATAGAAATATTTGGAAATGCAGCAGTGTGAATTGTACAATCCTAGAGAGTTCTTAAGTGTTGTGTGTTTGAGTATCCACATGCACGTGCACATGGAGACCAGAGGTCAATGTCAGCGTCTCCCGCAAGTGCTCACCGTACTCTCTGAGATGGAGTCTCACTGAGCATGGAGCACGCCATTCTGTAGATGGCTAGACAGTGAGTTCCTGGGATTCCCTGCTCTCTGTCCCCCAGTGCTGGCATTGCAGCCTCGCTGGCGACATTCAGGTTTTCTGTGGCTATAACCCGTGTCTGCTTGTGCAGAAACACTTTGCTTGCTGAGCCATCTTCTTCACCCCACACTATTTCAAGGCAAAACACTTGTGAAAGAAAAAGCCTTCCAAGTTCAGGCACAGACTGTTTCTGCGCTAGGTAGTTAGAAAGGCTGTGGTCCTGTCCTTCCAAGTGCATTTCACCCAGCTGTCACCAGTAAGAGAGCAGCACACTGAGGCCGACACTGGACGGCGCAGAGTAGGGAAGAGTGGAGTCAGGGCCTGAGCTAGAACAGGGGCAGGATGTGCAGCACGCTCTGTGAGTGACCTGCAGCTGCTGTAACAAGCCATTAGAACTCCGCTTAAAACAACACCGCTTCATCATCGCACACTTTCACTTTAAAACGTCTAAATGTTTATTTATTTCTTCCTGTTCACACACTCGTGTACCAGAATGCATGCTTGGCGGGCAGAGCACAGCTTGTTGGAGTCAATGCTCTCATCTCACCACGGGTTCTGGGGATTAAACTCAAGTCATAAGGTTTAGCTGCAAATGGCTTTCAACTGCTAAGCCATCTTGCTGGATCTTTTTGGGAGGGAGCGTTCGGGGAGAGACCTGAACTCGTGTAACTCAAACCTCAAAGTCTCTAGGTAACTGAGGATGACTGTGGTTTGATGGAATTACAGGTGTGTGCAACTATGACCAATATAATGATGCTGGGAATCAAAGTCAAGCATGACGCCACTGTACTACATTCATGACCCCAGTTTTGAAGACCTAGAGGTCAGAAGTCTAACCCATACCCCATTACTCTAAAAGCAAAACACCAGAAAGGCCACATTCCATTCTACAGAGTTGGGAGAACCCAGCTTGCTTTATCTAAGCTTCTAGAGGCCGCTCACAGCACCCGGATGCTCCGCCCACAGAGGCAGCATCTTCAAGCCAAGACCTCCACACTCCATGGCTTCTTCCTGGTTCCCATCTCACTACCAGCAGGCTCATCTGGGATCATCGGCATCTCAAGGGCAGACGGGTGGCAGCTGAATTCCACCGGGACCTTAACTCCCCTGGCCACATAAACTTAAACATTCAAGGGTTCAGGGCACTAGGGTGTAGATGTTTTCAGGGTTCATTGCTGTTGTCTGTGATTTGTTTTGGTTTGAGAACTGATAAAATAAGATTCATTGGTATCAAAATTATTACTATTCTAGTATTTTTACCAGTGTAAAACTGAAACCTAATTCCTGCCTCAAAAACAATAAAACTTTCTTTTAAAGATTTATTATTATTTTTATTTTTTATCATATGTCTATGTGTGGGTTAAGTGTATGGAGTGTGGGTGCCCAAAAGGTCCATAAGAGGGTGTCACATTCCCTGGGTGTGGAGTCACAGGTGTGATTGTGAGCCAGTCAAAGTATGGTTGCCCAAGCAAGACCAGTCTCATGACACCAGCTGGCATACTAGCATGAATGGGGGGGGAACTCACCCCAAACAAAGAGTTACAGGCAATTAAGGACTTCTGAGAGATGGAGGATCAGTCTTCTCCAGGTATGAGCCCCCTGGTGGCTTAGTTAATCCCAGTCAGGACAAAACACCCCCCCCCCACACACACACACACCATTAAATGAACTCAACAGTATGGCCATGAATTTTAGGAGTGTGAATACAAGGGAAGAGTTAGAGGAGAGAAGAAGAGGTGGGGAAAGGACGTAAATACAGCACTCATATATAAACTTCTAAGAAAAATAGTTTTTTAAAGGTGAAGAGGGAGTGATCAATGGAGACCCTTGATACTGACCTCTGGCCTTCACTTACACAAGCACATATGTGAGCACATCTACAAGCACCTGCAAACACAAACACACACACACACACACACACACACACACACACACACACACACACATGCACAGTGCAGGAGAATTGTCTGTATTCTGTCAATCATGTTTTAAATAAATGCTGATTGGTCAGGCAGAAAGTATAGGTGGGAAAACAAGACAGGAAGTAGAAATGATGCAAGGAGAACAGGAGAATTCTGGGAAGGAGGAAGTTGATTCCTCCCACTCCTGTCCAGGCCACCGAAGCAGCAGGATGTGATCTGCCAGCTGGAAATGGTACAGAGTCATATGGCTAAAATAGATCAGAATAATGGGTTAATACAGGCTACAAGAGTGGACAGGAAGCCTGAGAAAATGGGCCAATCAGCCCTACTGAAAAAGGTACTGAGCCACATGGCTAACATAGATCAGAAAAATGGGTTAATCGAGATGTGAGAGTTAGCCAGTAAAAGGCTAGAGCTAATGGGCCAATCAGTTTTATAACTTATAGAGATCTCTGTGTGATTTTTTTCTCAGGGACCAAATAGCTGGGGTTCTGGGGAAGACAGAAACCCCAACAAGCAGCCCGGCCCTCATGTTACACACACAGACACACACACACAAACACACCTCAGGATTATATAGTAACACCTGCACTTTTCTGTTTTGCTATCATTTTGTGGCAGCTTTCCCAACAGAGGAGGATCTCGGTGCTAGATTTTTGGGAAGGAGGGCACAGCACTTTAGTCCATTGTTACTAAAGTCTTAGAGTGTTTTTATTATATTCTGTGCAGTCATAAACACCTGGAAGGAGTTTCCCCAAGACTGAGGTACAACTGTCCCAGTGGACAGTGGACACATTACTTCTGAACTTGGGCTTTTATTGCTGCTAACATTGCTCATCTCAATGTAGAGTTGAATTACATAAAGAGAACTGGGAAGAAACATGCCCACCTATTCTCCAGTGTGAGTCCTGAGATGCAAATGCTGGGACTTTCAAGTTCATTTTCTATGATCTCCAAATTGTGTATGTCAGATCCAGAGAAAAATCCAGCTCGCCAGCTCCTCAGGAACTTGTGAAGCCAGGTCTCCTCTACCAAAGGAGCCATTTCCTTTGCCACTGGCAGAGGAACAAATGGCACAGCAAAGGGCATGCTGGCATTCCGGCCCACCCTCCCCTGAACTTCTCCAGCTCATGGGTCCAGGCAGGTCTTTTCTCCTAGAGCCCTGCTGTCCTCGCTCAGGCCGCTCTGCGCCCTCTCCGTCCTGGC